GCATGTGGTGCTGGGGGATAGAACCGCGGTCCCTGATGCTTTGCTAAGCTTGTTCTAAGTAGGTGCTTTAGACCACTGAGCCATCTCTCCAGCCCGACTGTCCTGCTTTAAAGTTGTCCTTTACCTGCCCCTTTTGTATAATGAACTCTTCAGTGAAAGTCAAAAGGAAAAGTCCACACTTACAGGATGCAGTGCTGAGCTTGATCTTGACAAAGGACTTACCTACCTTAATTATTTAGAGCTCTTCTGTGTAGGAAACTTAACTATTTCTATCAGTATGGGCTTGTGGATATTTTATAATCAGTGTTATAAGACGATACTATGCTATTTATTTTATGGTGCAAATTGTCACCCCTCTGGCCAAGGTGTGCCCCCTGAGCCAGGCTGTGGCTCTGTCCCCGACACCACCACGCACGGCCCTTTGTACAGTTGTTCTGTTCAAGCACTTCACTTTCTCATCTTGCATAGTTCTGCCCACGTCCTAGAATCATACATCATGATTTAGACCTAAAATAGCGCCTGAAGCCTCATGCATCTGAAAAGTGATTAGCTCGCAGGGTCTGGCGCTGACCCCTGTGAGGAGGTGGGGTCTGGCTGAAAGGCGGTCGCAGCGGGCTGACCCTGGAGCGGGGCTTTCCCTCCGAGCTCGGGCCAGCAAGGGGTGCGCCGCGTTCCTCGGCCTGAGCCCATCACCACGCTGTAAACCATGCGAAGGCCAAGCCTTCTACACATGAGCCAGAGCGAATTTCCACTCCTTTACACTGCAGGTATTTGTCCACAATGAGAAACTAAGACTGTCATTTTTCCACAGATTCCTGGATCCTTTTGATGGAAAACTGTATTATAAGCCAAAATGTAAGCGTTCACTTACTTCAGGTACCTTCCCTTTTTATCCAACATGTTTATTTATTCTTTTTTCTGAGTACATGACATAAAAGAAGCATGGCTTCAATTTCAAAATGCTAGGAACATGAGCATTATCCGGGGAGAATCTCTGTATCTGAAAACAGATGGAGATGGGAACCTCCTAAAATGCCACACAGATTGTGACACTACAATTTAACAGCTTCACAAATATATGAGTAGGGAGGGGTGGTGGCTAATATCATTGAAAATGAGTGATGTGGGGTGACCTGATAGCTTGGCGGACTAAAGCGCCTCTTAGGCAGAGCACAGACATGCTTCCGATCCCCAGAGTGCCATGCCAGCACCGCCCCCTGGGTGTGCTGAAACACCGATCGAGACTGGGCATGAGGGACGCGCACTTGTAATCCTAGCGTTTTGGGAGGCTGAAAACAGGAGAATCACTACAAGTCCGATCTACGTAGTGAAACTCTGTAGACCCTTTAGACCCTGTCCTAAAATACAAAAAAAAAAAAAAAAAAAAAAGAAAGAAAAGAAAGAACGAAAGGAAGAAACGAAAGAGAAAGAAAATGAGTGAAGAAATAAGATTAAAGATGAAAATTTTATTACCTGTAAAACTAGCCAATTTTTCATGTTTATAGGATGGTTCTTCTAGGTCTTCTGCCATTGACACAGTTGTTGACATACTTGACTTAGAAACTGTACTGCTTCCTAAAGCTGACCTTTAATGGTGAATAATAATGTGATCATTTATTTAAATGTCTTTTTAGGCAATATATTTATATATAAATTAGAACATTAGCTAGCGAAACCAAATGCACTCTGATCTTACCAGAAACACAGATCAAAGTGTGCTGATCAAAATATATTGAAAAATATTGAGTTGATTTTAACATTCTTTGAATTGAAAGAATAACACATGTCAAATCCATCTAAAATCACTCAGACTACATTTAGAATAAAATACATCCAAGACAAAATCCCCAAATAGAGCCTAACCTCAGCCTCTTCATCTCCGTGATTGTGCTGCCCTTACTGTTTTGTCATCGATTTTTTTATACTTTAGTGCCTTAATCTTATGGAGCAATCTATTCCCAGGGCCTGTTTACTGTTCAGATATCATCTTAAAAATGTGCTTTGTGCAATTTTATAAGTATCCTCCCAAGTTGAATTAAAGCACATCTGTGGACTCAGCAGAAAACCAACGGAAGAATCCACAAACAATTTCCCTAAACATACTAACCTCACTCTGTGAAGTACAGACTTTTTCTACACACCATCTCAACGGCCCCTTAGAGCAGGACAAGCTTATTGGAGCACCTTGCTTTACCCAGCACCCCCATGCCTTTGTCTGCAAATGTGGAGGCAGGTTGTGTAGCAGTGCTGTTGTTTAGCTCTAGATGCCTCCGCTGAGCCTCCTGTGCTCATGGGTGGGGCTTTCGGAAGGCAAATGGCTCCTGGGGGCTGACAGCTTGCCTGAGGGCAGCAGGTAGAATTTTAGGAAGAGCTGGCTCCGAGAGAGCTTGGCCTGGGACTCTTTCTTCCTGGCTCCTCCCTCAGTCTTTTTCTTGCTCTGCTTTCTGTCTACCCTGCTGTGGGTTGTTTCTCCTTCACCATGGCCCTCAGCCATGCTACACTGCCTAAGCCAGCTCACTGTGGACTGAAACCTTTGCCAATCGTGAGCCAAACAAACCTTTCCTCCTTTAACTTGTGGGTGTCAGGCATTGGGTCTCAGCAGTGAGAAAGTAAGTAGGACAAGCAGTATGCAATTGCTGTCTACTCTAAAATAATGGACTAAGCAATCCCTAGAACAAGAATTTTAATGATGGGGGAAAAGGAAACCCTTCATTTCCCATAAAAGGTAGTATAAAAAAGCAACCAAGGGGAAATCCTACTAGGACGTTGCAGTCAACTATGTGTGACTGGTAGCCCTTTCTTTGGTTCCTTGGGAAATCTTAAGTAAATCCCTGTACACTTTACAAATATGGTGGCATGGGGGGGAACTCCTGAAGTTGTGCACAGCCCTGCATGCAAGATGACGCACTCAAGTTGGGAGCCGCCAGGCAATTGATACCTAAGGGCTATGTGTAATCTGAATGCAAATTCAACATACACAGTGAGAAAGCAGCTACGCAACATTGTACCTTACCGTGTAAACTGGCCCATTGTACTGCGATTCATTGTGTTCTGATACATGCTATAGGAGGCGAGAATATCCGAGCTGAGCAAGCCTTCCTGGGACGACAGCAGTTTGTTCGGCTTTGCTGCGTGCAGGTCTGCACAGTAAAGAGGCCTGGGAGTAACATCAACCCCGTTTTTATCCAGCACCTGTAGAGATGTTTATTGAAAATAATTAGAGAACGCAGAGCTTCTAAGCAGTAGGACCTAGAAAATAGAAATAAAATTATACAATCATGTCCACCTGTTAACAAGTGCTGTTTGTTTTTCCATTTTCTTAAAATGAAAGGTTAATGATTTCAGGTACCATTTTTTTCTTTCTTGAGACAGGATCTCACTGTGCTGGCCTCAAACTCCCAGGTTCCAGTGGTCTTCCTGCCTCAGCCTCTCCAGTTGGGACCACACACACACACGCCACCACAAATTGGCTTGTTAAATTTTCTTTGGCCCATTGGTTTTGCTCCCACAAACTCTTTATACCATTATGAATATATTAATGATGCATACATTAATGTTAATGATGAATATATTAATATGTATCAAATTCTGTGTTGTTATGTATTTTTATACAATTATTCTTCAAAAAGGAGAAAGGTCTGATCATGGTGCTATTGTATTTGCAGAATGATGTGTTTTTTATTCATATAAATGCTAATTATTGCCTGGAGTTACTTGCTTTCAATATGTTATTTCTTGTAAGGAGAATACACTCCAAATAAATTCTCACAATTCTTGTTCATCCGGGATAGCATTTCACCTTACTTCTGAGCTGTAGCTTTGCTTGATATAAGATCTGGGTGACTTGTTTTCCTTTGAGCACTTCATTATTTTTCTATATTAAGTTTATTGATATCATTTAGATATACACAATAATCACATTCTTCATAAAGAATTTGTGCTTGTGTATGCAAATAAAAATAATTCACCAGGCAAGACAAGGAGTTGAACAGAGGGCAAAGAAAGAGAACCAACTAAAGGAAAATAACACGACAAAGACAAGTTAATATGTATCAGTTATAACCATCAATGTAAATGCTCTCAATTTGCCAACCAAAATAAACAGACTGGCACAATAGGTCAAAAAACAAGGTCCAACAATATGCTGCATACAAGAAACACATTTAACTGAAAAAGAAATTCATAGAATGACCGTCAAAGGATGGAAAACAATACTAGATGCAACAGGACCTGGAAAAAAAAAGTGGGGGTAGCTATTCTATTCACAGAAAGCACTTCATTTTTACACATTTCATTCTACTTTGCAAGTGGTATAGTTTATTTCTCTGTGTGTATGGGGTGTGTGTGTGTCTGTGTGTCTGTGTGTCCTTTAGAGATTTTTACATGTAAGATCATGTAATTGCATCTTTCCTTTCCAATTTGGAAATCTTTGATTTTTTTTTTAACCTAATTTTTCTGGCTAGGATTCTCACTACCATGTTCAACAGAGGTGACAAAAACAAGTAACTTTCCAATCTTTCATGTGTATATATGCATGTACATATATGTAGTGATTATATTATATGCAAATATGCAATGTTCATATGATAGTCCTTGTACAAACATGTATTTTCTTTTCTTGTGGATAAATATCAAGAAATGGAATAGAAGTATAATAGATGTATGGTTAATATTTAATAAGATGCCAAATTATTATTTTACAGATCTAGTATCAGAGCACTTAACATTGTAGGTCTTCTACCAATTGCAAATACTTGGTATGGCTAGGCTTTAACTTTAGCCAGTCTAACAGATACTTACCTGCATTTTATTATTTCAATCTGCATTTCCTTGGTGATGGATCTTAGTCTTTTTTCATGACCCCATTTGCCATCTGTATGTCTGCTGTGGTGACATGACTGTTCAAGCACTTTGCTCATTTATTTATTTATTTATGTGTGTGTGTGTGTGTGTGTGTGTGTGTGTGTGTGTGGCCAGTTCAGCCCACCAGGGGGCGTGGCTGGCTGGCATGTGGCGCTGGGGGATTGAACCTCGGTCCCTGTGCTTTGCTAAGCTTGTTCTAAGTAGGTGCTTTAGACCACTGAGCCATCTCACCAGCCCCCACTTTGCTCATTTTTAAAACTTAGTTTGCCTTAATATTTTAAGAGCTCTTTACACATTTACAAGTTTATATAGTTATGGTTCTGAGGACACACTTTATAGTTTTTCCTAGCATGTGGCCTTTCTCATTCTACTATCATTGTCTTCCAAGGGCAGAAGTTAAAATTTTTATGATGTCTCATTTACCAGTTTTATATTGTTAGAGACCATGCCTTTAATCTTCTAGCTCAAAAACTATCACTTATCCCAAAATTATAATACAGATGCATATATGAAATGTACTTTTCTATATACTTTGGGGGTGTTTATGGGCCTACAGGGTCTCACTACACAAATCGGACTCGTAGTGATCCTTCCCGCTTTTCAGCCTCCCAAGAGCTGGGATTACAAGCGCACGCCATCATGCCCAGTCTCATTCGCCTTCTCAGTGCCCTGGGGGTGGGGCTGGCACAGGCAAACTTGAACCCCCAGCTCCTGCATCTGCCTAGGAACATGCTTTAATCTGCTGAGCTATCTGGCCGGCCCTCATATGCCATGCCTTGACTGAAAGCTGTAAAGTCTATCAGTTTTCTACTATATGTCAACTCATTTTATGACATCTGCAATATTGCACTACTAAAAAGTAGATGATAGTGGCAGTATACTAGCTGCAACTATTACCATAAACATGAGGTAAGGTCATTCCCTGCCAGTAATAAATGTTATGGGGTAAAAAGTTCAAAGAAAATCAGTATTTCTTAGATGTGATCAGATGTGTTTTCTGAAAGCAGTGCTACATTTTCTGTCTCTAAGATGACGATCAAATTTGTCATGATGTCATTTAAAAATAAACCCAGCATTCTAAAGAAATTACCTGTATTATCTTAGTGCTGGCAACATTCACTTTTTCTGTCATTTTCATCTCAGGTACAATAATTAAGTTTCTTGATACACCCATTCTACTCTGATTTGCACCAGCATGTCCTTTCTTCAGAGAGTCTTTGGCTTTTTCAGTAAAGCTAATAGACTTCTTCGATTGGAAGACACTACTGTTGTACGAGGAAGATAAAATACAAAGAATACAGAATTGAAAAGAAAAACTAATCAATAATAAAAAGGAAAGCTTTCACTCAGAAATGTGAATGACCTACACAGATAGTATGGAGTAATAACAGTTCCTTGAGACATTACTTTGTGCAGCCGAGTTCATCCTCAGCCTGTCACTTTCCGTGCTACAACCACCCTCGGGTTCCCTGCTGACTTCACTCTACGTCAGGGCAATAGACATTCCAGCCACAGCTGAGATTTGACACAGCAGCAAGATCCACAGTCCACGTGGACTTCTCTGGGTCTTGCTTCCTTTTTATAAGACATAGATAGTAACTGTACTTAAATCATAAGTTATGAGAATTAAATTAATTAATTCATAAGTTATGGTTAGGAAGTACTTATCATATAGTAAGGAGAAATAAATGTACTGTGCAGACACACAGGCAGATTTAAACATGAGTAAAACACATGAAAAAAATAATACTTTCATGTATGAACAAACTATGTAATAAGTTTAGAGAAGTTATGATTAAACTATATGTACCAAGGCAAAAAGTATAACTTTACTTTTGAATTTAATCTGGAAGTTCGGTAAGATAGGTCTTATATTTATCATTTTATTCATTCAACAATTCTGTAGTATAGATTTCTATAAAATGAGGGTTATCCTTCCTTAGAAATCTGCTTCCAAATAATACATTTGCATTTAAATCCTAAAAGATCTAAGAATAAAAAAATATTTTTAAGGGACAAAAATCACCCCACTTCCTGTATTTTTTTAAAGCACTGGCTGGAGCCTTCCCATTTGTGTGTAGCACAAGCTTCGCAGCTTCACCTTCTTCAGGGCTCTGAGAACCGGCAATCACCCTGTCCATGTGCTGCCCTAGCTCCCCTATCTAACCTGTCAGGTACTCCTCTTCCTTCATATTCTTCTCTTTCATTTCCTTGACATCTCTTACCATCCAACATGGTTACCTGGCTTGTGAATTAGCTCTTAGATTATACTACATAAAGGTAGGCATTGGGGCTATTTTATTTCCTGCTGTCTCCCTAATGCTGCCACTATGCCAGCTGTGAGCTCAAGGCCAGCCGGAATATACTGAAATCCCATTTCAAGGAAAAGTAAAAAATTCCAAGCCTATTTTTCTACCACTCTCAGGTGCTATGAAAATGTTGTGACTTTTGTTTTAATTTGTATCAATTCATCCTAATTTCACTTTAAGATTTCCATACTTAAAACTGAAAACAAAATGCTGAAGCACAGCTGTGGTGGCTTATGCTTGGCTGTATTCATTGCATTGTCTTCGGAGTCTGCATGGGGCTTGGTGGAGCACACTTCCGGCTGTGTCCACATGGGGCATGGAGGGTTGGCCTTGGGGATTTTGGTCCCCCATCCTCTTCCTCTCCGCCTTTGTCCTCTACTCTGCTTCCTGGCCACCATGAACCGAGCAGCTTTGCTCCAACGGACCCTTCTGTCCTGACATACGTGCCTTGGAGCCAGGAAACCATAACCAAATTCCCCAAGAGCACAAGACAAAGCCAACACAGTTCGCGGCTCAGCGCTGCGAACTGTGTTGATTGAGGGGCAAGCTCACTAGCATTACGTCCTCATGCACTGTTCTGCTGAATCAACAAACATTTATTCAGCATGTCCTTCATTCTAGGCAAGAGGACATGGCACGTATGAAGTAAAGATCTGCTCTCAAGGAACCCCATGCCTGTTAGTCCCTTGCCCTCTCGCTGTCTCTCACCCTCCATCCCTCCCTCTCTCTCATTCCTGAGACACAATACCTGATGAGCATGTTAAAGTGGGTGTCCCTGTAGGTACTCATGCCACATAGGCAGGCTTTGGGGAGGTGACTGGATCATGGGGTGCAGTTCTCCTCAGTGATTAGTCTACCAATGAGTTTATAGTTCAATGTGACATGGAAGGTGATGCCTCTCTGGATGGAGGTGGGCCATGGCCTGGAAGATGTATCTCCCTACACACCTGCTTGGTCTCTGATCTGCTTTCTGCTGCCACACCATGAGCTATTTCTGCTCTACAACGGTCCCCTACCACGCCCACCTACCTTAGAGCCAGCCGTGGAATGCAACGTCTATAAACTATGGGCCAAAGGAAGGGGAAGTTCATTTGGCTCACAGCTGCAGACGGTTCAGGCCACAGAAGGCTTGCTCCAATGCACAAGTGGTCGTGGATGGGCCTGACAGAGGAAAGCTACTCAACTCAAGGCTCTAAGAAGCAGCCATGAAGCCACATCAGGAAGAGAGGAGTTTGGGACAGCACCACACCCCAGCAGCTTGGCTCACTTCATGCCACCAGGCCGCACCCCCTAACAGCACATTCCGCAAGGAACTTGTAAAGAGGTGAACCCTCTGGCATGTACAGCATCCCCATAATACAATCCTCTTTCAAGAGCCCCACGTCTGAACACCTGAGGCTCCTGGGAAATATTTTAGAAATTCACACTGTAACAATTCTTCAGCTGTATACAGCTTAGTAAACCTCTATGTAATATACCTATGAAGATAAACTGTAGGAGAAAGGGAGCAAAGGTAAGAGATGGAAACACTACAAAGGGGCCAAGGAAATAGCTCGGTGGTCTAAGTGCCTGCCTGGCAAGCACAAGGAGCCGGGTTCAATCCCCAGTACACCAGCCCCATGCCAAGCCAGCCACCAAAACCAGGCATGGTGGCACATGCCTGTAATCCCAGCCCTGGGGAGGCTGAGACAAGAGGATCCCTGCAAGTCTGAGCTGCATAGCAAGACACTGTACCAAATAAATAAATAAAAATTAAAAAAAAGAAATCACTATGAAGAGTATTACTTTCTGTTTGTGGCAATTGGAGGAAATGAGTCACGAGGTGACCTGGAGGTGCAATAATCCAAACAGAGCACACACACAGGCACAGAAATAGAAACAGCCATCTCCCCAGCCCCTTCATAGTGCTGCAATCGCTTGCCTTCGCTTCCTTTCTCCTACAGTTTATCTTCATAGATATATTACATATTTATTAAGCTGCCTGCAGCTAAAAAATTGTTACAGTATGAATTTCTAAAATATTTCCCAGGAGCCTCAGGTGTTCTAAAGTGGGGCTCTTGGAAGATGATTGGATTATGGGGATGCTGTACATGCCAGAGAGTTCACCCATTTACAAGTTCCTTGCAGAATGTGCTGTTAGGCAGTGCGGCCTGGTGGCATCAGGTGAGCCTGTACTGTAGCATTCCACAATGGGCTGTGGAACCTATCTGTGTGTTGTCACCTGAGAGGAAGAGTTCAAAGCCAGATCCTGTGGAACCTTGCAGGAATGTGAACGTGTCCTCCGCAAAAATAAGAAAAACTCAAGGAAAGTTTTGAGCAGAAAAGCCACACATTATCATGTGCGAGTGTTCGCAAAGACACTGTTTGGGCAGCTAACACAACACAACCATGATCTACCTATGGGTGTACATCACAGTCTGGATTTATGTTGCATGTAAGAAGTACTGATCGTGTGGGAATAGGAGAGAAGGTAACTCCAGGGTTTTGTTTCCTTCTGGTAATTAAAGACAGGCTGAAATGAAAAGACTACACTGGAAAAGAAGGGGAATTAAATTTACTTTTATATTTAAGTTTTAAGATACTAACTTCTGTGTGCAAAGTTTTTTAAAAGTCTATTTACCTGGAGAGGTCTTAGCTAGAGCTAAAATCTTAGGAATCACGAGTGTAGGCAATTTTCAAAGGGATAAGGAAATAGGGAAAGTTTAAGGAATGACACCACCGACACTGGAATATTTATTACAGATGAGTAAGTACCAGTACTTTTAAAAGATCGAGGGAAGGGTGGTGTCCCAGAAAAAAACTAAGGATTTCAGAATTTCAGGACAGATCAAGAGATCAAAGCTGCTTCTGGGCCAGTTGAGAAACTACCTGACCGTTACATTTAGCTGGGTGACTCCTAAGGACTTTCCAAAACCCTTCACTGGTGAAGTGGTCGGACAGACAAGAGTCTTGGTATCATATTCAAGGGTTAATACAACAAGGTTGTTTCCCAAGAACTTTCAACAAGTTCGGCTGAACAAAAAAGATGAAATAAGCTGGAGGAACTGAAAGGATGACAGTGATGTGGCCTTGTCAGAAAGATCTGGGGTTCATGGGGCCCATTGCAAGCAAGGAGGCAAGACTTCACTCCAGTCTGACTCCTCTGCTGCAGTTCTGCAGTGCTGTACACAGGAGGATCGTGGGGGACAGTACAAACACCTCGCAGAACGGAGCACGTAGTTTGGTCGGGTCGCAGCCAGCGGAGGGGCCTGAGGAGCTGGACACGAACCTGGGGACGACTGCACACTGAGAAACACTCAAGCCAAACCCAGCAGAGCTAGGAGGGCGGGCGCTCCTGAACAAAGCAGCTCCCTGGGAAGCACGCACCCGGGAGCTGCAGAGCGCACCGCGACACTGTGGGTCACCCTGTCCGATCCAGGTCGCGATGGAGGGGCTCCCGCGGGCCTCCCCGCGAACCAGTCCCGGTGCGGAACTTACGAGTGCATCGGCGACTTGCGGCCGCTGCTCGAGGAGCCGGACATAGTTGCGGCCGGGTGGGGAGCTGGTGAACCACCCGCTCCAGGCCGCGTCCGCAGTCTCCACACCTAACCGCCGGCGCCGAAGGCCGGAGCCCGAGTGCGTGGCGGGCGCCATGGCGACGGCGGCCCGGGCAACAAGCGGCCGCGCGGTTGGCTGGCTGCAGGGGGCCGAGGAGAGGGGAGGCGGAGGGGAGGGCAGAGGGTTGGCGGAGGGGAGGAAGCTCCGGACGCCGCCTCGGGGAGGAGGAGGAGGAGGAGGCGGAGGCGGGCGGCCGGGCCCAGGCCCCTCCCAGGCGGCGAGTCTCCGGCTGCAGGCGGATGGATGGGGCGTCTTCAGGCGGTGGCGGCAGTAGCGCGGGCGGCGGCGGACGCGGCGGTAGCGGGTGTAAGTGGAGGCGCCTCCGACCCCCTCTTCCTTTCTCCTCCTGCACCGGCGCGGGGCGCCCAGAGTCGTCCTCACCCCCTTTCACGGAGTCCCCTCCCCCACCGCGAGGCGCCGCCCGGAAGACCCTGAACTTCCGGGGCGGGGCTTTCGCGGGACGCGCCGGCCCCCGAGGCGCATGCGCAGCGCCCCTGCTGCGGCACCTCTCGGCCGCCGTCCTTCTCCCTTCGTGGCGGCGGCGGCGGTGGCGGCGGCAGTGGTGGCGGCGGCGGCGGCAGCGGCGCGGGGCTTCCCGGCGTCCGCGGCTCGCTGGGAGTCCGCTGCGGAGTGAGTTCTCCTCCCGCCGTTCGCTTCCGCCCCTTTCTCCTGTCTGCCCTCGGTCCCATCCGGGTGGACATAAATGACCACTCCCCTGTGGCTCCACCTCTTTCCTCGCGTCGGGTCCCGGCCGGGAAGCTCCCGTCTGCACTGCGGGATCCTGGACCAGCCTGTCTTTTTCGTCGGGAGTGGAGGAGGGAAGGGCAACCCTAAGAGGCCTGCCGCAAGGGAAAGAGGTCCTCCCACCGTGCCCGCGCCCCAGGGACTGGCCTTATTCTTCCAGCCCGTAGTGGAGCCGTCTCTGGCCTGGAGCCCGGCGCTGTGTGACCTTGGGCGAGTCACTGCTCTTCTCTGAGCTTCAGGTTTCCCTTCAAAATCAACCTACACCGTTAAAACTATGATTTTTCAAAAAACCTTTAAGCAGTTATAAGACTGGCCTATTGTGGCCGCTTAGATGGGATGACCCGGAGTTGACTAAACCTTCAAGGATGATGATTAGAAATAGGGCGACCTAATTTTTGGGTCGGTTTTATTTCTTCATTACTAGTGGTCACAAATTGCATGACTCCAGGTTCATTCACGCTTTCGGACATTGCCATGGGATCCTTGACCCAGTTCCCAGCCCTCGTTCCAAAAATGCGAGACAGGGTGCAGGGCGAGCTAGAGCTGGCGTGGGTTGTCTCGGCGCTACTGAGGCTTTCTTTCCTTTAATCCAGATGGTGTGGTGGCTCGATTCTCCCAGTGCCTGGCTGAGTTTCGGACGTGGTTAAGAACCAACTGGTTGAGGTTCAATGCAGACAAGACGGATGTGGTGCTGGTAGGCAGGGGCGCACTTGGCGATGAAGGGAGGGGAAGTGCGGAGTCCCTGGAGCAGTGTGTGACTTCTTTGTCCCCCTTTGGGAGCTGCTCACGGGGCGGTTATTCCCACAGCCCGGGCGAGATAAAAATAACAGCATAAAAACTGCATAGTAGTTTGTAACAGACTGTTCATTTTGGGCCACTTGGTAAAACTGTAGAAATCATTAACAAAAAGAATCATCTTCGAAGAGCTTGGAAGGCTAGGAAAGTATTTTAGGGTGGTTTTAATAATAAAAGCCTAACAAAAAGATGATGGTTATTGTTGCATAAATGGGGGGCTTCCAGACTAAATGCAATTGTGCCTTTGCAACCTGCATTCTGCCTACTAAAAGTAAACTCCATTTATCTTAAATGTTATTTAAGAAATGAGGGTTTGGTTGGGGACACAGCTCAGTGGCACAGTGCCTGCCTGGCAAGGGTGAGGTGGTGAGTTCTAGTCTAGGTACCAAAAAGGAAATGAAATCTTTATTTTTAGACATTTATTTAGACATTTCAGAGCAAGTTTGTAATTAGCCTTTAATTTTTATACTGCAATCATGAACATGTGCAGGTTGTGACCTTTAAAGAAAAATTTTAGTAAACTCAAAAGGGACTTTTGAGCCCTGGAAATGATTAGATACAGTGTATCCCAACAAAACAATTTGCTTTTAGGGTGTTGGATATGTTGCATTCATCTCATTCAACCAAGCAACCTCACAGTGGAAAGTGTTACAAAAATTTTCTTTTTACGTTTGGAGAGGCACCTTTTTGGTGGTACACATATGTTTACATAGTGTCAGAATGTCCCTGTATTCGTATCAGTTGTTGGTACCAAACGCAAGTTACTATTAGGTGTATGTAAATGTATGAAGCTTATTTATTAATTTAATGTTCTGTTGAGATAAAATTGTGACCCTAATAACAGGAAAACAATGCTTCTTAAGGGTTCCCGTTTATGAGTATGAATATGCATGTCCCTGCCTTATATCTGCTGAAATATTGCTTAGTAACGCTTGAATGTAGGAGTCAGTAAATTGCTTAAAAATAATTTTCTAATGTAATAGCAATTGTTGAGTAGTTGAATGTAGCAGAATTAGTGTTTGTTAAAAATAAGGAGGCCATTTGGTAGGGAATCAGATCCAAGGAAGCATTGATTTACACTTTGTAGCGATATTTTTGTTTGAGGACATAAACTATTAACTTCACATGAAAGTGGAATTAACCACACTTTAAGCATTTTATGTCACAATTATAACAGCTACCATTTGGGGTCTCCCATTAGTATATACTACGAAATGTGCTAATTTTGAAGATCACAGTTAAGGCTGAATTTTCTCATGTCTTTAGCGCTATTGTATCCTGTTTTCAACTTTTCTCACATCACTAGTCTTTAAAAATGTGTGTTTTAATCCAAATTCTTGCCTTTGCTTTTAAATACAAAGAGGGTATCTGTTGAATTAATCCAAAGTGCTGAAGAACTAGGAATAATGGATGAAAGGAACAAGGAGTAGATTCTGGCTGAATAAACAGAAGGATTGGAGCTTTTTTGAAGAGAATAGTAGTCTCTGCATGATAGTGAGTTATTGGAGGGGTTCAGTGTTCAGAAAGCCCAGAAGAGGAAGCAGTACTGAAGAATTCCTACCTGGGTAGGGTAGAGAATTGACAGGACTTTTAAGCACCGCCCAGCACTACAAATGAATATTTCTTACATGGTCCATTCTGAAGAATGCAGAGTTGAGGGGGCCAGGGAAATGGCTCAGTGGAATAAGAGCGTCCCTGGCAAGCGCAAGGGCCTGAGTTCAATCCCCGGTTCCGCAAAAAAAAAGGCAGAGTTGAAAAAGACTACTTTTCTTAAGGTGCCCTCTGAAAGTTTTTAAAGATAAGTAAAATAAAATAAATTCAGGATAAAATAAATTCAGCAGTAATGTGTTACCTATGACTTACAGTATTTGAGCTGTTTCTCTTTACCTCGGAGTGATGTCTGACCCTAAAAACTGAACCCACATTTAAGAAACCAGAGGAACAGTGTAGTGGAAATGTTTTTCTCCAAACAGTACTGTAATTTAAAGTTAATATTGCAGACAGCATTAATATACTTAAATGTCATTGAACAGTCAGACGAATGCCCATTTAGAAATGTCTTGGACTCAGTTTTCCTGACTCGCAGGATACATACACTTGCTTAAGGAATCTCGTGCCCCTGCTTTTTTGTCACAGTTGGATGTTTGTTGGTCATTTAACTGAAGAATCCAAGATTTCATGGACTCAAAGCATCAAGTTATTCTATATTTTAACAACATGTTGGTTTTCCAGCCAGCTAAATTTCATACATTACTTTAGTACAACATCTTCCTTGGTTCCTGCAGTATAAAATCCAAATGTCCACTCTTGCCAGGGCCTTTGAGGCTTTGATCTGTGTCCACCACAGGTCCACACACATCCATTGTTCTTCGCCTTCAGCTCTTTTCCTCAGTTGCATCCAACTATTTGGACATGAACTGAGGTTTAAAAAAAATCATTTTGTTTCAGGGCTGGGGATATAGCTCAGCAATTCCTGGTTAACCCCCGTAAAAGTCTTCTTTCAAATCCTAAGAACTAAAAGGGTAACTCCTAGAAACTATGTCTGTGCTGTTTTACTCAAGGAATCCTGATAAAACACTTTATGTATTAAAAATAAAATGAAGATACTGTACAGTACAGTTAATGGTACAGCTTGTTTGTAGACTTGGGAACCTTAAAGTTTTCCTTTCTCTTCTTTCCCTTGCTTTTCTTTCAGTAGAAAATGTGCATCAGATGTTTATGTTTAATTGGTTTACAGACTGTCTGTGGACTCTTTTCCTGTCAATTTACCAGGTAATGTCCTTTCACTTAGCAGCTACTTCATGTACCTATAAATGTAGCTTATTCACGCACAAATTCGTATTGGACATGAGAGTTTCACGTTAATGTTGAATCTTTGGAAACAGTTAAATGCTTGGTAAAGCTTAGAGTTTCAAAAGCATACAAATTTAAGAAAGTAACACCTTCCATAGTGCATTCTCAGAATGAGTTGGAAATATATATGTATCCATTTATGCATTATATTGTAGCCATGATACCACACTTCCTGGGAATGTGTAATTCTCATTTAACTGTCTGATTTTAGTAGTCATTTTTGAAACTGGATTAAGAAGAATCCTTTTAAGATTTTTTTTAAATGGCCCTTCGAAATAAGATTTATTAATCATGCTTTGATAAATTACGTTAGTGCCCTTTCCATAACGCCTTTTATTGGCCAGCGCCTCCTGGGTCGGGAAACCGAGACGTCGTGGCCTCGAAGCCTGGGCCGGGCGATCGCGCGGCAGCCGCTGGCCCCTACCGTGTGCCGGGGCGTCTCGTCGGGGGCTGCGGTGGAGCGGCCCCTAACCCCGCCATCCGTGCACGGAAGGCGGGAGGACGGGCAGCTTGTCAGTATTTACATTTTAAAATTTTGCGCAAATTAAACCGTTGCACGAGTACGTAGCAGCTGGCCTTTCCGAAGCGTGAGGCACCGGGCGAGACCCCAGGCTGACGGGGCGCCGGCCGGCCCGGCCCGCCCCCGGCTCGGCTGGGCGGAACCGCCCGGGAAGGGACCCGGCCTGGCGGCGCC